TCACGAAAGCAACATTTTTTTATATACTTGGTCATCTCCTTTAAGTATTGCTTGATTAGCATTTTGACTTCTGTGTTATGTTCAAATCTTCTTCTTGATAAATCCTTATAGATTGAAAAATGCGAAAAAATTGATTCTCAAAGACGTATTCCTACTTGGTCAACTGTATGACCCTGTAAATTATTAACTGTGATGGTAAAGGCAATGAATTTTATTATGAATTTCGGGGTCTTCTCTTTGTACTGTCTTCCTGATTTCCGCGTATTAGCTTTCTGAGTTGAAGAAGCGCTCTTTAACTTTGGCATTTTCAAAATTAAAATGTGTTGCGGGGATAACGTGCGGGTTATTATAAAGTTGTAGCCGAGAGTTCCGATTGGACAAAAATTGGTAATGTTGCGTCAATGTGTTTCCCTGACAACCAAGGAAACGTAATGGTGAATTTCAGCCAATGATTGTGACTTTTGTGCGCCAGCAAGACCAAGTGTAGGGCGTGCGTATACCTGATTCGATTAGATTACTCATCACAATGTCTACCAACCTACCCTCAAATCTAATTATATGCCCAAAGTAGCGCCGTCGTTTCGTACAAGTTGCGTGTTGATCGGAACCGCAACGGCCGAGATATCGGCGTGACAGACGGACGGCTTTTCGTCTTTACATAGTAGATAAAAACAAGTACAGTTCTGTCCCAAATAAATACACTCTAAAAAATATGTATATTTACGGAAATGTATTCATTCAAGCATAATGTGGAATATTTATTTTTACCTTTCCATTTCCTTACGGAATATTGATTTCTTCACTTCTGTATAAGGAATGTAATCGGTTTTGTACAATAACAGAATACCCGTATTATGCTATGGCATTTCGTTGAAATGAATGAAATCTTAAATGATTAAATACATTTCACATTAAGATAAGGCTGTAGCAACTGAATGTTGATCTTTGTCATGGTTAGTAACGTATACGGTCACCAAAATCTAATTGTTAATTCGTCTTTATTAATTATTTAGCTTTTATCCTATGTACCGGTTGCTTATATGTTACCATCTTCGAGGAAGTCATGAAAAGGATTATTCTGTGGTGGTAGTGGTTAAGATTCGATCCTGGATCTTCTCGATAATATATATTTAACAGCTTTCCATGTTTTGCTGAAGTTGGTTGAGTGTGTTATCAGTTTGGTGGATGTAGAATGTTTCTTTTATCGTGAATGGTTCATACCCCATTAATTTAGAATCATTTCAAGTTATTGTATGATATTCTACTCTGTCATGATGAGCTAATGCAGAGAGGTCGGTATTTACAAAATCTTATGTGCGTATTAGTCTCTTCTAATTTCTGTTTTTGTTCTGTTTCTCTAAAGCATTGGAGTCCACATTCATATGTGTTTTTGTGAATGGTGTTTTTTTTGCTTTCCCTTGTGTCTAGGTGATTTGCTGTAGACTAACTGCGATCATATTGTGTTGTAACTTCTAAATACTGCACTGACTTTATGCTGTTTACATGCCATCATTGACGTAAGGGAACATAGCTGTTTGTCTATATTTTATTTTATTTTTCAAGTGTTATGGGTATTCATTGTCATTGATAGTTGTACTGACGCGCTTTTGTAGTGAAGTAAAATTATGGAGAATTAAACCTCCACAATAGACAAAAAATTTTTTTTTTAAATTAGAGGTACTCCAGACCCCTTATACCTGTGTTATACATACCTTTAAAGTATACCCATTGTTGTATTTCAAAATAGCAATCTTGTGGAGCCATGGAATTATACTATACTGTATTATCAATGGCCTAAGTATCCCCCACAGCCTCTGCAATTGCGTTGGAGGGAGGGGAGGTTGAGCCAAAAGGGGATTCGAATAGCCTGACAAATTAGAATTGTCGACAAAGGAAATATATGTAGGAGGTCCAATTACTTTGTATGCGGGAGAGGATCTTTTGTAGTTACACCATTACGTATTATGATCTACAGAGCCATCAATAATGTCGTGGAGTCATGGAATTATGACTGTACCGTATTATGAACCACAGAAGCTATAAATAAGTATTACATGCTTAATTTATTGTCGAAGACCTAGAAGGCACCCACATTTGTTTAGATAGTTGGATCCCTGAATCCACTTGTTCATTTACTCAGGCGGCAAACTGTCTTACCACTGGACCGTATTAATAATACTTTTAAAAACGAATACTCCGTGTCAACCAATGTCACCTCAGTGAAATTGGTTGACGCCATTGTTTTGGTTTTTGTATTAAAAAAGAAGCAGAAGCAAGAAGAACAAGAAATTCAAACCTTTTGCTATGATATTTACAGACATTCCCAGAACTTTTGACTCAGTCATTACATGGATATTGTTATAAAAGGAAACACTATAGTATTGTAAAGTTCTGATGACCTATTGAGGAGATATTTAAATTACCATTTCAATTAACTATCCGAGCCATCCCTACTAGTCCATCAGTTGAGTCGGGCCTACTACTCATCTCGAGGAACCAGCTAAAAACACTTTAAAACCAATCGTCACACTTGTACAAACACAAAAACATATGATGGATAATGCCTAATGGTAGCCTTCCAC